AAGGTTAAGCAAATCATGACGCATAAAAGATTGAAGGTTCACTGCTCTGGCTTTTAAAATCTTTCAAAGAAGCGGACTTATTCATAGGAAGAATTACTTTGTGTTGTTAAAGATATCGGTTTTGTTAAAAAAAAAGTTATCAAAAGGAAGATCCAAATTTATTGATTATTTATTAATTGTTATTCTGAATCAAATTCCGAAATTTTCCTCTGTACGCTCCTACATACTTATGGCCTTAGAATCGACAATCGAAATTTACTAATTAGATTAGATAGACCGATTAAAAGATGTTCAATCTCTAGTCATGTCAAACTCTCGCCTGTAACCCGCACCAAGCTACAACGCACAGACTGTAGCGCTCTATTCTGTACTTATATGAAACTTAAAATGCGTAGATTATTATTTTGATATTATAATTTATATAATTTTATATTATTGATGTGAAACATCTATAGCCGCACGTAAAACCGATTTCTGGCGTGGCGACGCCAGAAATCGCCACGCTATAGTCTATATGCACGATTAATTACTCAAATTTAAATTAATTGTTAATAATTATTTTATTAATTATTAATTAACTAAATTAACTTTAATTAATTGTGTGTACTATTACCGAAGTCACTGATTAAACGAATTAAGTAGTCACGATTTGAAATAAATTCGTAAATTTTAGTATTTAATGAAAATAAATGTTTATTCAATAAATAGTCATCGTTATCTGGAAAAAAAATCGTAATATTTTATTTTATCATTATGACATATTTAGTTCCTATCACAATCTGTTCTTTTCTGCATATAACTTTTACAAAATAATGTCGATGTTTCACATCTGCCAGGCCTCCCGTGACGGCTCACATTTTTTTTATTTTTATATATATATATTAATTTTTATTATAATTATTATATTATAGACTCCTCCAAACGCTCGAGCCACTAAGCTCAAATCGTGTGGTTCAAATCCCAGTGGCGTGTTTTCCGTCTGTCGATAAATCTGTATATTATCTGATTTTTTTTTCTCTTTCTGTCTACGTCGGTAAAAGGTGTGCGTTAAAATTTCTCAAACTGTCATTGACTCTAACCAACACTATATAATATGACAGTCCATCGGATTGTAAATCTCTATCTTCTTCTTCTATATATATCTTCTTATATATAAAAATGGATTGCTGTTCGTTAGTCTCGCTAAAACTCGAGAACGGCTGAACTTATTTGTCTAATTTTGGTTTTGACATATTTATGGCAGTCCGGGGAAGGATTAGACGATGAGAAATTATGGAAAAATTGTATGGAAAAACGAAATAGCGACAATTTTATTTTCCCAAACAAACTTTACCCGTCAACCTGTTAACTATATGTGTGTAACCTGTCAAACACTATGCGCGCGTTCCGAAAATTCTCTATTTGTTCAGATTGACAAATTCCTAGAAATAATGTAGTTGGCAAAACAAAGCTTGCGGGGTCAGCTAGCTATTAATAAATTCTTCTAGGATGACTAGCATCGCAGTTTTTCTGGTTTTCTGTCTAAAATAAAGAATTAAAATAAAACCATATCAAAATAGGATACAGTTTTGGTATTTCAAAGTAATCCGAATTGTTTTCAAAACACGTCCGATTTATATAATTAGGGTCTCCACAAAGGCTTTTACTGAAGAATGAAATAAATCAGAAACGCTCTGTTTAAAAATTTTGTATTGTTTGTATTTTTTATTCTTATAATTTTCTATACGCACATAGATTTCTTTTTGTTTTGTTTTGTTTGCTTTTCTTTTGTAGCTTTTGTGCTTTTAATGATTTTTGTTTCCTCCGTACTTATCATTATTTACGAGTATACAAGTTGTAAAGAAATACTTTACTTAGAAATGCTTTACTTTTAACCATATTGCTAGGTAAAGTCTCCTTTGTGCATATTGTATTCAATCACAGCCTGCTCGTTCGTTACATAGTTTTTCTTACAATGTTTCCTCCATATTCGAAATGATGGTAAAATGCAGTTAAAATGATAAATAAGTTCTTGTATTTTCATCTATAATGCACTTAAATTTTCAATTAACAATTTGACAACACGAATAACATTTGAAGTTCTTTTGACAACACAAATAACATTTCAAAAGCTATTTGACAGCTGATTAGTTGACTTCTACCATGATCAGTGTTCCAGAAACCGGGCGTTAATCTTGTAAATATTAGAAATAAAAATTTAAAGATAAAACTAAAGTTATCCTGGACTTAAAATATTTCTGTTTGTCGGTATTCCTTTTCGATTCGTTTGAAGTGCTTAATTTCTTTCTGTCAATTGTAACTGGTTATTTAAGTAGTTACTACCATTGTTACACTTTAGTAAAACTTTTCATAAATATTTTAAATAAAATTATTTTTGAATTTTAAAAGTTGAAAATTAATTTTCTATTCAAGCTGTACTTTTCAAATGACAGTTGACACACCGCGGTCGTTCAGGGTTACTGACGTTTCTATTCTTATTTGAGACTTATTATACTACTTGCTGTTTACTTTTAACAACTCGCGATGACGCTTTGTGTGTTTTCTTTAGTCATTGGTCTTTCATATCAAAGCTAGAATTTTCAATTTGAGCGAGAGATTTAAAGAAACATTTGTAAATTGATTCAATTGTTTAATGTTACTTGTGTTTAATGCGTCGATGCAAGAATTCTGCAAATTTATACAAGTAGGAATAATTTTAAGTTTTAATTTATACTTAGAACTTACTTTTGGAATACATTATCCTGTGATGTAAGGATGGTTTTGCAGAGAATCCAAAATACACACACATGGGCATTTGATCCTAAGTGCCGGATCTAACCCACGAAACGGTTGTAGCCAATAAACATCATGGAAACTGCGCAATCGCTATCGCCGTTGTCTTTTTAATTTAATCTAGTGTCCAGCTTTAGCGCTGAGTAGATGGGATGAATTAAATTTGTAAGCCATTTACAGTCGTTTGCAACGCTAATATTGCGCGTCGTAAACTGAATTCCCACATGCTTTCATTATTTTCTTTGATTAAAATAATTTTAACGAACTAAATAATAACTTAACGAGACGTAACACGTACTTTATATAACAGATTCTAAAATATATCATTTATAATAAAAACATTAAAAAATATAAATATTAAAATATTCGATTGGTTTAAACAAGTTTTGTGGGAGATAATTATATTTTTTAATTCTTTTAACAAGGTTTACATAATTATCTCCGTTCAATGCCGGTTACACTGTGTTCGTGGCGTTGAATAATTTTAAAAGTTTTTAACGTTTAATACTAAACTAAATGCAAACACAACGTTCGTGATTACACGCTATCACTATAAAGTTTACTTTCGCAAATAATTTTCACTCGGTTCACATTCCCAGCGCATGTTTGTCGACTCGCATAAACAATTATTCCTAATTTCGTTTCAATAGGAAACATAAATTTGAAATGTTAAATACAACTACAAACGTTCGCTACAAAAAACTGTTAAATGAAATTGACACTAACGATGGTACGTCATATTATCTTTTGTAATATTTTTTTTATGTAATAAAATGGCAAGCGAGCTGGCGGTTCACCTGATCGTACATGGTCATTAGCAACACGATAGGTGTGCAGATGCGTTGCCACCTTTTAGTAAAGTGGGCTCCGGTTACCCCACTCGCCAGACGAAACGCAGAAGTATAACATTTCCACGTCACGCTGGTCTTCTGTAAGGTTGCGGTACTTCCCCGGACGGACCTACCTACCCATTCGCCCATCAGCGAAGACTTGCGTGACTCTATCACAGTTAAATGTTTAAACTGTCTGTTAGCGATCCCGCAGTTGTTTCTCGAATGGACGGTTTTTGGTGAAAGCTAAGGAGATGCACAGATAAAGCGTTACCCGCTGCGTCTGCTCAGCCATCTACTTTATTTATTGATCAAATAATTCCACAGTTCTCCGACTAACTATGCACTAAATATAAGTTTTCCATTAAGGTAAACGTAAACACTATTTATATTAATGCGCGTCAACGTTACGTCGTGATAACGTACGGTGTTCGCAGTCGGCGCGGTTGTAACGTCGATTCTATACAATAATTACATTAGGCCTATTTCAGGATTTGTTTACCAAAAATTATAGTCGGCCCGACCTCCTTTTCGCGCGTCTACATTGTTTTGTTTGCGAGCCTGAATCATGGTGCTGAGGTGAATTATTCGCGGTACCGTTACATGTCCGTGTGCTAAATTATCGCACTCGATTACCTAGACTGCATAAAGGCCTCTCGCACCGCTATTACGTTGGTCTCGATACGTAGGTCATCGGTACCTTTTTTTGGTTCAATGTCACTTAATTCACGAAATGGCATGCGGCGATATTATTAACTTCAGCCATATTTAGCGCCTTTCATGTTGTGTGATGGCTTCGGAATTGTACATAATATTATGTATTTATGTTTTTCTACGAAGATGTTAACGATACTGTAATACAATCATTCGTTTGATTTGAAAAAATGATTGCTTGATAAATTATAAGTAAGTTTACGTTTTAATCTTGAATTTTAATGAGTTAGCGTGTTAGGGCAAGACTTGCAGCCGAATGAATAAGCCGCAGCCGAATGAATAAGCTCGGGATATTGTGATTGCTAATTAGGTCATTTCTTGCGAATCTCAAATCAGCACGGCGCGATTCCGTATTATTTCTGACAATGTTCAAATTAGCCGACCCTGAAGCTTTTTTCTTTTTCCTCGCTCACAACCCAAAAAACACATTTGAAAACAAAGCATTGTTAAAAGTACTATTTCACGATCCTATGCAAATACAGAAATGTGCTGTAATAAGGACACTAAGAGGTTAAATTAAAATGTTTTACGGATTTATTAAATAGTTTCCGGTGATGAACACCCGGTATCATTCAAGATCTCGTTTTACCGATGGTGTTACCTTCATCAATGAGTAGTGTTCGCATAGCTTCAATGTATCATTAAGTTGGGTTGTATCATTAATTCATCAAATCTCACCTACAGACATTCCCGACATCCCAGAGGACATCAAGAAGTTGCGGGCGCTACAGATCGCAGACTTCAGCAGCAACCCGATACCGAGGCTGCCGGCAGGATTCAGTCAGCTTCGGGCGCTCACTGTTCTCGGACTTAATGACATGTCCCTCACCAGCCTCCCCAGCGACTTTGGAAGGTACTGCCATGTGTACATTTAGCATCTTAAATATATCAGTGGAGCTCAAACAAGAAGACTACTGCACTATTTTTATGAGAGAAGGCAGCAAATAACCAGTTGGTTAATGTGAAGTAAGAGCTGGCGTCCATAGACATCAGAAACAATCCCTATTATGTGCACCAACTTTTCAAAAATTTTTGCCGCATAAATCTGTATATTACATACCTCTCATATTTGGGAATGGACAACAAGAATGCTTGTCATGCTGGGACTTCATAAGCTTGGAAACACATATTTCAATATCTTTCTACGTCTTTATGATGAATATTCTGGAGAGCACGGTTTTGCTAAAGGCGCGTTGCCATATCAGATCCTTTTCAAAATGATGCTATTCAGTACTTTGAAACATTATTAGGCAACTAGAGCCCGAATTATAGTTTACAGTGTCTCCTAAATCAAACATTGCAAATAACCGACCGCTTATTACTAAAATATTCCTTATAAAAATAATTACGCAAATAATTTAAAATTTAGATTTATGTTCGGTCACTGACCTCAGTTGGTAAAGCGTCTGGGCGCAAAACCCGAAGACGCAGGTTCTAATTAGGCCTACAGCCCGAAAGTTTTTGTTCATTTATCTACAAGTACAAAAGTACAATTTAAAAAATCTCATAAATTTTTGTTCAATTTTCAATAACTTGATGAATCTATTTCATATTTTTTTTTTTTTTTTTTTTTATTGATAGAACCACCAACGGAATAACATGTTGTTTTGTTATAAAAACTGACAATAGACTTAGGAACTAAGATTTACATGTTTCCATTTAAAGGTAGTTACAGCGTGTTTAAAAAGACGATAAGTGTACGATAACTCAATAATAATTACAAGTATGAGTAAAATACTAATATGAAACAACAGAAAAAAACAAAAAACAACAATAAGACAATAAGAAAAATAAGAAAATTAAAAATTTATAAAAATAATAACAATTTATATTGAGTTTATATAAAATTTTGGTAGAATTTTTACTTTGAATTATTAAATAGTTTGACAATTTTGGCTCTAAAAGTGTTTATACTATCGCTAAATAAGTCAATAGTCTTATCTTTAAGCACACATTCGTTATACAACCTGCTTATTCTCGGTATAAGAGAGTGATGACCAAGATTGGTTTTATACAATTTGTGATTGAGTAAGGGAATCGTAAAACGCGGTACACGGCAGGGAACTTTAAACAATATTTGTGATAGTAATTCTGCAGAATCTATAGTTCCATTTGTAAGCTTGTACAAAAAAAACTAAATCATGTAGTTTACGTCTGTCCGATAGTGAGCTTAATTTTAGTTTTAGGAGACGAGTAGAATAGGATTCCATATGATTACCACTAGAACAATATTGAGTGAATCGTTTTTGTATGCTTTCTATACGATCTTTGTGTATTTGATAATTAGGGCTCCATATGATGGTCCCGTACTCTAGTTTACTTCTAACTAAGGAAGTTTAAAGAAGTTTTTTAGTTTTGATTTTTTTAAAACATTTTGAATTTCGGTATAAAAACCCCAGCATTTTGCGTGCTGATCTACAAATATTTTCAATGTGAATATTAAATCTTAATTTAGCATCAATTGTTATTCCTAAGTCTCGGATGGATTCAAGCTTCTGAAGTGGGTTATTGTTCAACGTGTATTGGGTTTCTAATGCAGTATGCTTACGCGTAAAGTTGATATATGAACATTTAGAAGCGTTGAGATCCATGCCATTTAACTTGCTCCAACTAGGAATTCTATCGACATCTTCTTGTAGAGATTGTGCATCATGATCGTTAAGAATTGCTTTTGCGAGTTTCAGATCGTCCGCAAAGATGAAACATTTTGAATTACGTACACAATTAGTTACATCATTTACGAAAATATTAAATAATAGGGGTCCTAATATGGATCCCTGTGGTACTCCCGAAGTGCACTCATATTTTTGAGAAAAGTGGCCTCTGATCACTACGTATGAAAATCTGTCTTTTAAATATGAAGCAAACCACGAAAGTAATGGTCCTCCGATTCCAAACGATGATAGTTTCGCTATCAACAACTTGTGATTCACCCTGTCGAAGGCTTTGGAGAAATCAGTATAGATATCATCTACAATGTGCTATTGCTATTTATCGGAGGTGGCGTGACAATATAGGCGAGATATAAAATAGAGACGAATATTGATATGCAACAGGACTTTCTTGGTTTACCATCTGGGAAGACTCCGGTACTGAGGGATGTATTAAAGATAATACAGATAGGCAAAGACAACGCTTTAGCATACTTCTTAATAAACGATAATCCATAGATTCTTTTTATTACTTCCTTAACATTGACATTAAACAAAGATTTTTCAGTAACTGTTTGTAGGGGAATGTTTGTGCAGGGTACGTAGTAAACGGAAGCAAAGGATTCAGCAAAGAGATTGCACACTCCTGGGCCATCGGTAGCAACTTTACTGTTTAGTACCATTCTGGCTGGGTTCGTGTTTGATGGTTTTTTTTTACGTTTTTTAAGTGTGTCCAAAAATATTTAGGATTTTTTTGTAGGTTACTTTCACTGCATTCAATATAATTATTATAACTTGTTTTAATTAATTTATTACAGCTAAACCTTAGTGATTTAAATTTGAGTATGTCTAGAGGGTTATTGTAAATTCTACTTTTTACTCGATATTTATTTTTAACTTTTAACATAGAAATTAATTTATTATTATACCATAAGGGAAACTTTGTACTTCTAGGCTTAGTCTTTGGCACGTGTTTTTCGATTATTGATTTTAATTTATGATAAAATACATTAATCATTGAGTATACTGAATCGCAATTTAGTAAGAGTTCTAACCATTTTGTACCATCTAATTCGTTTTTTTTTTTTCTTAATGGCCTCAAATCTGCTTTAAAGATTTACCTAATGTATATTTAACGGCTATCATTACTAATAATGATTACTAAAATCATCATTACTAAAAAACTAATATTGATGTAACAGTATAACCTTTACAAGTAAAATTTTATTTTACACTGAATAAATTACAAATGCAGTGAAATAAAGACACGCAGGACCTGGCTTACCACAGCTTAAAATTAGTTAACCTAATAATACCTTGCTTATCATTTCACTACTATCTCTAAAGTCTATTGTAACTAATTATCTGTTTAGAGTTTGTATTGTATCAAAAGTTCTACATATATTTTTGTATTTATCAAAGGCACATTTTAGAAAGGCACGTACATTAATACAGTAGTACTCCGAAAAAGCTTTTAAGCGTTATGAACAGTCTAAGAGAAAGCGAAAGTTGGAAAGGTCTGACCCGTGCTTTGAATATTTTTATATCGAGCCTAGTATAATGTATATTAAAATTTTCAGGTGAACAACTCATAATAGGTTTTACTAAAAACGTTCCCATGTTTTATGAAGGAAGTATAAAAAAGTATTTTCCAACCATCTTCCCTTCGCATCTCTACTTTTTTCACACATGTATTGCATATCATAGCAAAGTGTTCCTATCAATTGTCTGAGTGTTTTTTCAGGCCGCAAGGCCGTTACAATAATACTTATGGTGATTCTTAGAATGCGCGGGTTACGTAACTCTTTCTAAAAGAGCGGCGGCTCATCGCCTTTTTAAAATTTTTCGTTTATATTGAACAAATCTTCAATTCGTCTTTTACTTCAAGTCATTTCAAAACTAGAAGTTACGATGAATTTCCTGGCCATAAAGAGATTACCAATGTCTATTATTTTTGTCTTCGTTAAATACTTTATTCACTGATTTATTATAGTTTAGCGTGCTGTTTGGTTATAAACGTTCCCATTTGTGAATTTCGACTGTCGTTAGCGTTAAACTATGGCATTACTATATAACCTTCTATTTTCCTAGTCTATCTTTGGAAATATGTATATTGAAACACGTTCAACTGTCACCCGTCAATCACAACCAAAAAAAAACAGTCGAAGCCGTTTAAAATAAATATTCCGTCCTCAGTTTTTGCTAGAAGACGTTTTAATTTTGCTAATCACTCAATGTCCGTTAGAACACGGTGCACTGACTGGCCTTTTTTTGTCTGCGTCGCCGTCTCTGATATAATTTGCTCTGTTACTTTCCCGTTGCCTGAATCCGTAGACAGAATAAATGTATGGCGCCAACGCCGTCTAATATAATAAAATAAATAATGTAGCAATAAAATAATTTTCATTTTCCGAATGTCGATTTCTTTTGTTTAGTAACTATTGACGAGCTTTACTTCTGTGTTTTAAACCTGGATTATTTTCATCCCCCGATTTAAAAGGGGGGTGTTATAAATTTGATGTGTCTGTCGGTGGCATCGTAGTACGATGTATGTGGCAAGACACACATATATGATGATTCTGTAGCTGCCTAAACGGATGGACCGATAATGGTGCGTCTGTTTCTTAGCCATAATTTTTTTTGTGTCATGGGATGCCTTAAAATTTAGTAGAAAATAATATATATAAAAATGAATCCCTATTTCCCTTTGTCACGCTGGACTGATTTCGCTAATTCTTTTTTATAATATTCCTTGTAGTAGGACGATGGTTCTTACGGAGAGAAAAGTTTAAGAAATTGCCTGAAAAAATCAAAAAACAACACTTCTATATTCCTGTACAAAAGATTCGTAATAATACTTAAAAGTCAATTTAAACTTTAATATCATACCATAAAGTTAATTTGTAGTGGAGGGGTGCCGGGAAGGCAAAACAAGTGAGTGACTGTGGTAAAATGTCACTTGAAATGTAAACCGAACGTCTCTTTGCGTTGTCTGTCTGTTCCTATGTAGCGTACATAGATCTTTAAAACTACGTAACGGATCTTGATGTGCTTTTTTTTACTAAATAGAGTGATTCAAGAGGAAGGCTTATATGTATAATACATTGCACCTGTGAGAAGCCGGGGGGGTCGCAAGTTACCAATAAATTTAAATTAATTATTAAATAATTAGGAATACTGGCGATTAACAAAAAAATATTGT